ACAAAAAACTGCCAACAAAAAATCCCCCCCCCCAAAAAAAAACTCTTTTTTTTGCTTTTTTTTAAAATTTCTTCTCTCCACCTTTTCTGTTTTTTATTTTTTATAATTCCAAAAAATTCATTGTTTCCTTACAAAAAAATATGGGGTTACATCCCCATACTTTTTTTCTTTTTTTTGCCTATTACTTTTTTATGGGGAAAATCATGTAAAAGCGTGGATGCGGTGCGGTCGACCCCACCCGCGGAGGCGGCCATGAACACGGTCGCCCTCCGAGCCCGATCTTGCGGCCGCGGCTGCGGGGGATACATAGCCTAAAAGCACCTCATCCCTCCACCCTTCTCTCCACGACACAGAGGGGAAAAGAGAGGACAACACCTCTCCATCATGACGAGAAACAAATTTGTCCTCACTCTGATTAGAAACCCCCTCCCTCCTGTCCCTGAGCTGCCCCGATCAAGAGGCGACCCCTTCCCCTTATTGACCCCAACTCAGGACAAGCCCCCTAGCGAACCACCATTCCCTCAAGAACGAGCATTAATTCTTATTTATTCATTGTTATTATATTCAATGATAAAGAGGAGGAGGAGTTATGTGAGGGATGTTGACAGAGGTGGAGAGAAGAACGAAGGAGCCATCGATCAACTCTTCTATTCTTCTTAATTCCTCCTCCTCCTCCTCCTCCTCTTCTTCTTCCTCCTCATTATCTTATCTTCTCAGTGTGATAATGTGATTCCACATCAGATTCTTCTTTGACTTGCGGCAAATGACATTCCCTCCACGTTTAGTTTATCGACAAATTGGGCCATATGATAGCAGAGAGAGGGAGAAGAAAGGGGCAAAGAGAGACGAATTCAGCAAGTCGAACCAACGACGTGAGGCTTTATTATCACAGTAAGCGTAGTAGGTCCGTGACATACGATCCAACAATTGGTTTGTAGCTACACTTCTGCCTCCTGCTCAGGTAACCCTCACAGCAAAGATGTGCATTTGTTTTTGAACTGGCAACTCACTCAACCCGCCCACATGTTTTTAAGTACAGCCCGTCCTTAAAAAAAAAAAAAAAAAAAAAAATCAACGTGACTCGACCCACCCATTGGCACCCGAGTGTTTTTTTTTTTTAATTTCCTCCCACACCCAACCCGGCCATCAGTCGTAAAAAAACTTCACCCTAATCCACCCACACCCACAATAACAAAATTACCCCTCATCTGATTCATAGGTCTTTTCTAACTTCAGTGACTTGCGATAGCAAGCATCAACAAAGGACTGTACAATATTCTTTGCGCAATGTTCATTGCCTTTCCTAACAAGAACAATGATACCATTTCTCGATCTATGTGTGTCATCCTTGTGCAGGGGGAATGCTAATTCTCTGTATCCTTCAAATTTTAACGGATGCCCCGAAGGACAAGAACAACGATCATAACATCATCAACAAAACACATTCCATGAATATATCGTTGATCAGCTCCCAATGACGCAATCCGATTGTGTTCACTGTTGATCAAAGGCACATAGCACATTTGCAATCGGGGGACTAAATCCTTTACCCATGGGTACCTTTTTACTTTCTGTCACACATGAAAGTAGGCGTGGTTGATATCAAAGTACGGTACATCTACTAGTCATTCGATTTTCATCGTTTCGAACGAGAATCACTCGTTTGCAAATCTTATTAACAACAGAATTTAGCGAACAACGTCAAATATTGCTATGGATTGTTTTTTTGGCATATTTTGCAGTGAAAGTGCCCATGGTATTTTTGTTTTTCGAAGCATCCTGTATTTCAGCAGATAAAAATTGATCTAAACTTATGTTTTTCTTTGTCAAACGTCGTCTCAATAAGGCGCCTTCAACAGTCCACCGAGGAGGTAAGTTTTTTTTACGACTCTTTGGTATAACAGAGGAGACTAATAGGGTGGTTCCAAAGATTCTGACTTTCCTTGAAGCATTTCGCAATCTCGGCGTCAAGCTGGTTTCTAGATTCGATAAACATTTTTTTTTTCTGAAAAAATAACAAAGCTATCAACACTACGTGTCAAATCTTTAATGCTTTGCAGGCGCTCGCAAGAGATCACTTTTTCAACGTAATGATGCGTCGCAGCCTTGGTGTCATGATTAGAAACACATGCTCTGTTTCCACAAATGGATTGAAAAGTAGGTTCATGTAATTGATCAATATATCGTAACAACACAACCTTCTGCTGCCTGTATTTTGAATCGAGCACTTTGGTTTTGAACAAAATATAGGCAGCGGAAGGTTGTGTTGTTTACGATGTATTGATCAATTACATGGACCTACTTTTCAATCCATTTGTGAAAACATAGCATGTGTTTCTAATCATGACACTAAGGTTGTGGTGCATCATTACTTTGAAAAAGTGATCTCTTGCGAGCACCTGCAAAGAACTAAAGATTTGACACGTAGTGGTCACTGGGGCGTCAATTTGAGGTTTGGCGGTTAGCATCCCAACTTTTTCCCAAGGGAGATGGAAAGAGAGCGGTCCTGAATGTATCATCTATGTCCATGTAACCACCTTACGGAGTATATCTTATGTCTAAACCTTTCATAATATAATATCCGATTTCGAAACAAGGAAATTGTGTAGGATCCTCAAAGACTTTACGTGAAGCTACTACTAATTAATAATAGAAAAGAAAGCCCAATGACTTATACATATACGTACGACAGATACCTTTGTTTGTATGTAGTGTCGTATTATTATAGTGAACCCGGGCAAGAGTCGTGGCTTTCAGCCTACACAGAGGGGCGTATAAAACAAGGTCAATTTGTAGAAGAAGATCAAGTTCGATCTGCCTTAAAAAAGGTAGCAAGTAGCTAAAAGCAAAACCAAATTTAGCGAATAACATGAACAAGCAAAATTGCTCGATAAAGGGGTATTTTCTTCAACATGAAAGACAAAATATGGTTATATGTTGGAACCTCTGACCGAGTGATACAAGCAAAATAATAGCAAAGCTATCAATACTACGCGTCAAATCTTCAGTGCTTTGCAGGTGCTCGCAAAAGATCACTTTTTCAAAGTAATGATGCGCCACAACCTTGGTGTCATGATTAAAAGCACATGCTATGTTTCCACAAATTGATTGAAAAGTAGGTCCATGTAATTGATCAATAGATTCAATACTTCGTAAACAACACAACCTTTCGTTGCCTATATTTTGTCCAAAACCAAAGCGCATGATTTGAGTAATTTGTATCTTTTTTGTATTGGATAAGATAACACCTGTATGATGCGGCGAATAATTACTTTGAAAAAGTGATCTCTTGTGAGCGCCTGCAAAGCACTGAAGATTTGAAGCGTAGTGTTGATAGCTTTGTTATGTTTCCAGGAAAAAAAATTGTTTTTCGAATCTAGAAACCAGTGTGGCTATACATACCAAACTGGTTTCTAGATTCAGAAAACATAATTTTTTTTTGGAAACATAACAAAGCTGTCAACACTAAACGTCAATCTTCAGTGCTTTGCAAGCGCTCGCAAGAGATCAGTTTTTCAAAGCAATGATGCACCGCAACCTTGGTGTCCTGATTAGAAACACACTATGTTTCCATAAATGGATTGAAAAATAGGTCCATGTAATTGATGAATACTTCATAAACAACACAACCTTCCGTTGCCTATATTTTGTTCAAAACCAAAGTGCATGATTTGAGTAATTTGTATGTTTTTTGTATTGGATAAGATAACACCTGTAATCAAAATACAAACTCGTCCATGTGACAAAATCATATTCATAATTGGTGCAGTGTGCCAACCCCACAGACACACACACACACACACACACACACACACACAAAGAGAGAGAGAGAGAGAGAGAGAGAGAGAGAGAGAGAGAGAGAGAGAGAGAGAGAGAGAGAGAGAGAGAGACATCAGGCATACAATGGAAAGGAAGAGTAGACACAGCGGAGGTCTATTCGTTTGAGCTGGCAAAATTGTGCAGCCTACACCACAGCAACAAACACCAGTTTTTAGGAGCAGCTAAAGTTGGCTACCTTTTTTATATGTCGCAGCACTGGCAATCATTTGACAGCCATTTCGTTAAAACTGTCTTAAAAAAAAAAAAAAAAATTGAAACCTACTTATTTGGCCCTAAAATGTCACCATTTTAGCTCCTGAGGGTCCCGTCGGACTTAGCTGAAGTCCAGATACATGGGGTCCAGCGTTTTCAGAGAGTGACATTCTTAAGACTAAATAAGTGGGTCTCGATCTCGTTAAAAAAATATGAAAATGACAATATGTCCACTTTTTTGCTATTTTATGATTTTAATAAAACGGCCGTCATTTCAAGAAAGGCCTATTGGTGAGAAACTATGGGTGGAGGAGAAGGAGGAGGAGGAGGAGGAGGGGCCGGAGGAGAGGGACGCGATGATGGCAGAGATATAGGGAACAATAGTGCAACAAAGTGATGATGGGAGAAGAGGTGAGATGAGAGGATGTCCACCTGAAACCCATAAACGTCCACACTCCGGCAAATTCCAAGAGCATAAACAACTCCCACAAGGCCTGAAGATGGCCTGCTTCCTTCATGCCCGACCCTGCCATCAGACATCCACAAAATTCATTTTGGCCTTCAGAAAACAAGATAGTGATGGGAATGATGCAGTTCTAAGGTGGAGAAACACGAACACGTACCCTGGAGTCCGGGACCAGGAATCAATTTCCAGCCTTTAATACAAAAAAGAAAGAAGGAGAATTCTCATAGAAAAATAAAGAAAGAAAAGTACGACGATTAGTTATTCGGACGCAAACACCAGCACAACATACAGAAACCATGTAATACAGTTCTCCTTCCCTCCATCTCTCTCTCTCTCTCTCTCTCTCTCTCTCTCTCTGTGTGTGTGTGTAAGTGTGTGTGTGTGTGTGTGTGTGTGTGTGAGAGAGAGAGAGAGAGAGATACATGGCTACGATCTGATCATCCGGCCCCCCCATCCAGACGGGAAAAGTTATAAAACCTCCCCGTAACGAACCTTCGTACTCACTTTTCCCCGAATCGGGGCAAAAAGTGCTGCAGGCCCCAAAATTACTTGTCGTGTCATTTTTGCACCCTGGCTGGGACGGTAAGGCCCATTGCCAAAAATGGCAGGAAAGTGTTGTACAGGGTACAAAAATGACGCCAAAAGTCGTTCTGAGACCTGTGGCACTTTTTGCCTTGTTTGGGGGAAAATGAATACAAAGGTTTCGTCGTGGAGAGACTTTATAACTTTTCCCCATCCACATGGTCCGGATCCAGACCGGAGTCCAGATGTCCGGTCAAGAAGGTCCGGATCAAATGAGAGTTGGTCAGAAAAAAAAATTGGGGGGTTGGCCAGGCCCTTCCCCCCATTGGTGGCGACCCCCAAAAATTGATACCGGGCTTTTTCAGGCCTGTTTAGTTTGTTTCTTTTTTTTTCTGCACAGGGGGTTTCTCCTTTATTTTTTCTTGTCCTTTCAAGCACTTTTTTTTTATACGTCTTGGTGTCGTCTTGTCGTTTTCTTTTCGAGGCAGGAAGAGGCCTTTGTTTTGGCGGCCTCATTGGGGTGTGGACCGTGTGGGCGAGTGGGAGGGGCCGACAACATTTCGAAACTTGCCTCGTCAGTGCCCGCCCTGGCTTCTACCCGCACGTCTACTTCGAACGGTAGGGAGAAGCCCGCCATCTCGTTTCACCACGGAACCCTCAATCACCGTGCCTTGTCCACCGGGCATGCTGGAGCTCGCGACAGCATAGAGAGAGAGAGAGAGAGAGAGAGAGAGAGAGAGAGAGAGAGAGAGAGAGAGAGAGAGAGAGAGAGGTGGCAATGGGAGAATCGAGGGGGGATAGGTGGCTACGGGAGAAGCGGGCCGAGTGAGGTGGCTTGCAGAGAAGTGGCACGGCAGTGGCAAACTGCATACGGCAGCGTGACGGTGAGGCAGCCTTAATCCAGGTCAGTCCCCCCCCCCCCTCCTCTCTCTCTCTCTCTCTCTCTCTCTCTATATATATATATATATATATATATATATGTGTGGTGTTAATCGATTCTGTCTGACTCGAATTTGTGGATTATTGTTCTCGACTTTGTGGACTATTGGCTCGACTTTGTGGACTATTGTTGTTACATGCACAGATACGTGATGTACGTAATACCCGAGGATCTGCAATGTGATGAAAAGGACAGAATGGACAATGCAGTGCGAGTAGAATCTCGACAGACAATGTGCATTCTCATACATACAAAAAATGCTGAATAGCGCAAGGAAGACTTAGATACAAAGACTGACCTGACCGGGACTGACCTCATTCAAGTAGCGAAGCAGAATGCTAGAATACTAATAACTAGCCCAATCAATGTTTGAACTCAGACCAAACATGCATCATAGCCATCACCAGGTGTGAGGGAGCCTGACGCTGTACACAGGAAGAAAGCGCCAGGTCCAGACATACACAGACGAAGAGGAAGGGATCAGACGAAAGGAGGCAGGGAGATGGGAATGTCATCGACACCAAGTCTTTGTCACCAATCCCAAATAATCCCTCGTTGCCATGTTTGAAGTCCCAAAAGTCGAGTCTGGATCCAATGTCACCAAGCTCTGTCTCTCTTTTCTCGTAGTCTGCAGATGCAGTGAAGTCAGAAGTTGAGAGGGGGAGAAGGAGCTGGTGGACTGAGAAGAGGAAGGAGAAGAACTCTCTCTTTCTCACTGTTACGAGCCAGATACTAACCTGTGATGTTGGCGCTGTGCTGCAGGTACCTCGAAGACGAAGCTGGAGCAACGGCGCTGCAGGTAAGTACCTCTGGCCTCCGCCCAAGCTCTCTCTCTCTCTCTAGTACTACCTAGCTATGGCACCCAGCGCTGGAGACTACAGCTACCTACTGCGCCCAGCGGTGAAGACTACAAGTTAACGCTACTACTACTACTCTGCAGCGCTCCCTCCAGAGTGCTGCTCCCAAATCCTGAAGACTACAACTGCCGACTGCCTACCTGGGAAGTGCCTGGGAAGTCCCTTTGTACTACCTCGGCCTGCCTCTTGACTACTGGAGGGCGAGCCAGGCCGAGGAGGCAGCTCTTGCCAATGCCGAAGTGTGCCAGAGGCTGGCGCGCAGCAGCCTGCTGAGGCTGGTGTGGGAAACAGGCTAAGAATAGCCTGTTCCCGAAACCCTGGTTCGGTGCCTGAGTTTCAGGGCCGGTCGTTCTGATGAACGACCGAAAATGGCCCTTGGGTTCAGGCTAAAAAGGCTGTTGCCAATTTTAGTCTGAACCGACATAGGGGCTGTAGGCCCTGAAGTTCAGGCTTTTGGGCTGAACCGACGTGGGGCCTGTAAGCCCTGGATTTCAGGCTTTCGGCCTGAAGGGCGCAGGGCCTGAAAAATGGCCTGCGTGTGCAGGCGCAGCATGTAACAATTGTCCTCGACTTTTAGGGCTATTGGCTCGACTTTGCGGACTACCAGCCCCACCATTTGCTCGACTTAGTGGGTATTGGCTTGCCTCGTGGACAAGTGATGGACTGATGGATTGATGGATTGATTCAAACAATCGACCAATCCATCCATCCATAAAAAAATCAATCAATCAATGAATCAATGAATCAATCGACCAATCCATCCAGCCATCCATACATCCATCAATCCATCAATCAAACTATCAATTGCACGCATGAAACACTCTCATGTTCGGCGTAAGTACTGTAATGTTCACAGGCTTTGCAATCTCACGCAGATTATCGAAGGCATCGATGGTGGAATGGAACCATTGAATGGTTTGTAATATACAAGCATGGCTACATTGGACCCGGACCCGGACCCGGACATTTCTGGACATCAAATCGGACACGTGTCCGGTCCCGACTGGACGTCTGGAATTCTGGACATTTCCGGACCTACGAACATGGGAGAATCCAGACGGTCTGGACGTCTGGACAGGTCCGGAAAGAAGAAAAACAACGGAAAAAAAAAAATCCGGCATTATGCTCATGTCGAGGAACATTGCGACATCAGTGTGGGCACTATTCCAAGCCCAGACGCACCTGTGCCCGTTTGCCCTAAAAGTGGGAAAGAAACTGAGCTGGGCCCCGTTGATACAGGTGCCTGCCTCGTTTCTGGAGACCACCTGTCTCCAAAAACGAGCAAGGTGCCTGTTTCAATTGGCCCTTGCTTTTTTTTGGTTTTGTTTTGTTTTTTTTCTTTATGTTTTTTGCCTTTCGCCTCTCGTATGTGTGTGTGTTTCCACATGCACGGCCTGAACCAGAAGGACATCTTACAGCCCATTTTTCTTTTCCGTTGGGCCCACGGGCTTCCTACCCCCATCGATCTTCCAGGCCTTCCCCGACCGCGGAATTTTCTTGTGGCGACAAGTTCATTCTTCTACAAGGCTGGGGCCGTGTACTGGTGGTTGAAACCGCCGGTACACGGGCCCAGCCTTGCAGAAAAGAAACTCGTCGCCTGCTTCGAAAAGTTCGGGGTCGGCGCGCCGTTCATAAATTTCATCAACGGCCGGCGTCACGTTGTGGGCCTTTGAAACACGCGGTGAGGGGCCCGCGGCCCATTTATGGCCGTGTACTGGCGGTTTAAACCACCAGTACTTGGCCCAGCTATCGATGCCGAGCCTGGAATCCCCCTGCGCACCGATTTCTGCCGAAGCGACGGGGTACCGTTTCATTTTTCTTTTGGCTGGCGCTTCCAGCCATTCAGGTCCGCTACCCCGGAGCCGTAAATCCGCAGCGCGTTAACGGGGAAGCGCCACAGCCGATAGCTGAGAGGAGCGGCAGACAATACAGGGATCACTCAAACAAGCTGTGTGCCATGTGCAAGCCCCCAGAAGTGGAGGGCGTGCGGTGCTGCTTACTCACCTGTACAAAGGCCAAGAAGATCTTGGAAAGAACAGCTCAATTGTGGGAAGCCAATGGCCATTACAGGCAAGGCCCTACCTGACGACCAACTCCGAAGATCGACTGGTTGTACACTATTGCGAGGTCGGAGAAACATGGGAGCTCAGATTGTCCCAGGGAATAAGGACATCCTCCCTCTGGGCAGTGCGCAAAAGAAGCCACCAAGAAATGATTGGGAAGATCGGTGTCCCGGCCACTCAAGCCTGGGCCGGCCTCGTACAGGAACTGGAAACCGAATACCACACAGACTGGGTCCAAAGACTCCAAACCAAGAGAAAAGGGCAAACCCGAAAAACAGCGGGACATCGCAGAAAAATGGTTACGACAATGTTGGGTCAAGGCAAAATAGGAGATATCCTACCTCTGGGCAGTGTGGAAAAGAAGGCGCCAAAAAACGATCGGGAAGATTGTCCCAGAGAATAAGGACATCCTCAGATTGTCCCAGAACATGGGAGCTCAGACTGTTTTTTTTTTTTTTTTTTTTTTTTTTTTTTTTTTTTTTTTTTTTTTCCCTTTATAATCGAGGCCGGGGTCCTCACAGTCTACCCGGAAAAAACAGGCTGGGAGCATTACCCAGTTTCGCTTACGGGGCCCTGCCCCGCAGGGGACCAACCCCCATGACTCAGATGCCAGAAACTTTTACCAAACTTACACCACTTTCCTACCCTGAGGACAAGTTCTGCTATCCAGCTCCAACCTTACCCCTAAGTCGGGGAACGGAACCCATTAGTTCCCAGCATTTTGTCGGTCGGTGCTCCCTCCTGCCCCACCTTCCCACCTTCGACTGCCTTCCTACCGCGGAAAAACTAACCGAACACCCAGGTAGTAGCTCAGACTGTTTGAAACATATGAGAATCTGTTCAAAAAAAAAGAAAAAGAAAAAAGAGAGGAGATATAAACGAACAACGGCTAGAATTCAAATGGGACACTGGGCTCACCAGGGACACACGCTCACAGCAACAGCAAGGGGAAAGCTCAATTCACAGAGTGCCCAGCTCAGTGGCCATCCACGGACGTGACAGGAGCGACGAAGAGTGGCGGAAACAGCGAAACCACAGCCGACAGAGCAAAGGAGGGGCTAGACAGACAACTCCAAAATGCCACAGAGAGAATTTCTGGGGTTAGACCATTAGTACCTCCGCCGGTTGGGAAAATAGGGAGGCCTCAGGTGGGCCTACCTACAATCAATTAAAAGGCCGAAACGAAACAACGGCCGCCGATGAGATTTATCAACGGCGGCCGTCGTCTGGCCCAGCCCCCGACTTTTTAGGAGTTTGTTCCCAACACTGGCGGAGGTACTAGCGGTTTAACGCTTCATTCAGCAACCTGCCTTGGGGCAGGCTGCGAGGGAAAACAGAGGTCTGGTTTGATGCCGGTTTCTGTCGGAGGAATCCTTTCCTCCACATCTGTCCAGCAGTCATTTTGCAGTTTTCAGCAGGGTGTTGTTGATTTTGATGCCTTCTCTTGTGTCCTTCCACTGTTCTGCGGTTTCTCCCAGATGGCCCCATGGTTGTCACTCCAAGCCGTGTAATGGCCCTGGATTGGCCTGTAAGCATTCCACAAGGGACGCTGGGCCCACTTTCCAACCCATAACACTCCCCACGAAGAGATTGGGGTGCAACTGTGCAAGTAATATTCTGGAATATACAACCAAACTAGGATACACACTAAGAATGAGTTCACACCGTATAGCTCAAATTATAAGCCAAAAAGGGGAATCACATGAAATAGACGAAAACAATCTAGCACATGTAGTATACTAATAGCACGCCCCACAGGAAATAGACGAAACGACAATAGAGTCGAGCGCATTGCCAAGTCATATTCTGGAATATACAACCAAACTAGGATACACACTAAGAATGAGTTCACACCGTATAGCTCAAATTATAAGCCAAAGAGGGGCAATCACAACTCAACCAGCAACCTAATCCCACCCACATCACATCTTGGAGCAGAATCCACGGCATCACCTCAGCTTAAACACGAAGTTTTCAATGTTTGCTCTCTCACTTAGCCCTTCCAGTCAACAAAGGGCTGAACAAAAGACGTCGTGCGCAGACATCTAGGTTTTGCACCCCCTTCATGAGCTACGTGCAAGCTGCCAAGAGGGCCTGGTCTGGTAGAGGATGTAGATCACTGCCGATTGCGTTGCCAAGAAGCAAACACCGTCAGACCCAGGTATGGCAGCGATCTGGACCTCCGGACAGGGATCCGGACCTCCGGTGTCCGGTGTCCGGTGTCCGGTGAACGTGTCCGGATCCTGGTCCGGATTCCAGACCCTTTGGCCAACGGCCAAATTTTTCTTTGGCTGTCCAGGGCGTTTCGTCTCGCCCAGGGCCGCCAGCTTCCCCGCTCCCTTCCCTGCTCATGCCACGTGGCACCCTTTTTCCTTCCTTTTCCGGAACTTTGTCGTCATGTTCCTCGTCTTCATCCTCCTCCCGCTCCTCCCAGTCCACGTCTTTGCCCTCCTCCTGCTGCTCCTCCACGTCTTCACCCTCCTCCCCCTCATCTTGGTTGTTGACATGTACTCACTACAACCTCCCCTCCCCGCCCCTACCTGTGCCACACGGCCTTTTCGTTGTTTTCAACCCATTTGCAGTACTTTGTATAGCAGGTTTCTTCTTCTTCTTTTTTTTTTTTTTTTTTTTTTAATCCAGACATGCAGACCCATCCGGACAGGGATCCGGACATGTCCGGATTAACCGGAAAATACCGGAAATCCGGACGTTCGGATGAAACCGGGAAATCCGGTTTCCGGTGTCCGGACTTGTCCGGTTCACTTGTCCGCCGCTGCCATGGACCCGGCGACCGAGCTATGACACTGAATAACTGAGAGCTCCCTCCCTACTGACCAAGTCCAAGTCCTACTTCTGCCGCGCCTGCATTCGCCACGCTCCTGGCAAAGCTATATGACATATTATGACTACTTTTTCCCATATACTTAGACTGGCGACATTATGGGTGATTTGGAAATTTGCAGATGTCAAGAGACAGTCGCTCAGATCCCAACGTCTACTCAAGACGCGTGGGAAGGAGGTCTCCAACTTGGTTAACATAATGGCAAACATTATGGATGATTTGAACTCTTACCTTAAAGTTTCTGCACGGCGGCAAGCTACGGTTAACACAAGGTTAATACTAAATAGTAAATAGTCATGTTTACCTTGTGTTAACCTTGTGCACGATGGCAAGGAATAACTTCTTAGCCATGTTAACACAAGGTAAATGTCTGCACAGACTCTGCAGGATGGCAAAAAGTCACCATGGTTAACATAAGGTTAGTGGTCAGCTATACATGACAAACAACTAAGGTTAACATAAGGTAAACACACTCAGGTTTTAAACTTTTACCGCCTCTTAATTGTCTGCAAGATGGAAAGGAGTCACTTTTTTTTTTTTCTCAAAAAAGAAAAGAAAGAGCGACGGCCTTGAGATATCATCATTGAACTGACCTTCAGAATTCTTGTCTTCTGTTCATCTAGTTGTATTGAGATTCGAACTCGGGTCTCTATTCCAAGCAAGGGCAAGGGCAAAGGCAAAGCACATATACACACATGAGCGTATATGCGCAGACAATTCAGCAAAAAACCCGCAAAGCGGGATGTCAAATAGGAAAAGGTCACATCATGTACGTGACAGTACGTCCCATCCCGTCATAGACAGCTGAGAGGAGCAAGTACAGGCCAGCGCCGCCCCCCCCCCCCCCCCCCCCCCCCCCCCCCCCCCCCCCCTCTCATCCCCCCATTTAGCGTCATAGACACGTCCAGTAGAATCAGAGACCCTGGGGTCAACCAACTTTAAGAGTACGTCAACGAGGTTAGCTTAGGCAGGGGTGACCCGGGTGAGGGGTGGGATACCGTTCCCACGCGAACAAATCAATGCTGTCCACTCGGGCCTTCCAACCATAATGGGAGGAGTGTAGGGTGAGTAAATGTTGGATTTCTTTCGTCTTGCCGGTGGAAATCTGTCTCTTATACACATCTAGATGTGTATAAGAGACAGCCATTTCTTGATCTATGCGTGTCATCCTTGCAGAGGGCCATACTAATATTTCTCTCTGTATCGTTCCGATTCTAACGGATGTCCCGGAGGACGTCAGCAGCTTTTGCTTTGTTGAGATGACTTCAAAAAGTGCAATCTCAGTTTGGGGAATTTTGGGCCCATTTCAGCCCATTTCAGCTTGGGTCCAGCAAAAGGAATTGCAGGCCCGAATTGACTGCAGAAATGGGTCGCAGGCGGTGAAAAGGTGCAGCCCGAAACAAAACAGCCCATAACCGCAAACTTACAAGAAAAGTTCGACTTTTGAATTGCAACGCCGATTGGGCCTAGAACAGCGATTTCGCAAAAATGGACATCTTTCATTTGTTGGACGAAATCGAAACCGACTTTTCTGGCCCAAAATCATGAAATTTCGATTCTCCTGAGCGTCCGGCGTTCTGAAAACGCCGTACCCGCTGGATGCATCTGGACTCAGGTGTAGTATCTGGGCTTCATCTAAGGCCATATACATCCAGGGGGTACAGCGTTTTCAGAATGCCGGATCCTGCGGAGCATCAAAATTTCATGATTTCGGGGCCAAAAAGGGTGGTTTCAATTTCGTTCAAAAAATAGAAAAATTTAATGTCCATTTTAACGAGGTCGCTCTTCTAACGCATGGGTCCAAAAAGATTGGATCAGGCGTTCGGCCAAATGGGCCTGGGAACAGCAAAGAAGTGATGGCCACCGTATTTTTTTACTGTACTTTCTCTTGGTAATTGAAGCCTTTTCCTTTTTTCTTTTTTTTTGGTAAATGAAGCCTTGAGCACTGGGCCCTTTTTTTTTATTGAAAGAGAAAAAGAAAACAGGTCAGCTTCGGACTTCACAGCCGACGTGCAGACCCCACCGAAGGTTAATATTCTTTCTCAAATATTGCTTCGGCAATACTACCCCATTTTTACCTGCCCGGTTAAACCAGGCTGCTGGGGTCCTGCCTGCTTGGGCTTAGCTGCTCAGAGAGGGGGCAAGGGCAACAGGGCAGCTCCACTAGCCTAGGTAAGAGCCTAGACAAGAAGCTTTTTCATTTTTCCTCTTCTCTTTCCCCTTTGAGTAGCTATTTTGAATAAAGTCTGAAAAAAAAAAACAAAATTAAAACTTCAAAAAAAAAGAATGGAGTCTGACTGGCCGGGCGACGGAGGGACCCAGCTGACACTCCCAGAATGAAATGGAGCCACAAGCAGAAGGTCAGGTTTTCAGGAAGAGGAGCAAAAAACAACCACAGAAAAAAGTGAAGTGAACCGCTTAGCAGCACAGCTTACCACTCCCACACATGGCACAAGAACTCTGGGTCAAATATAAACGCATTCGTGGCATTGCGCTTTTTCCTCTCCCTCAGCCACTGCTTTAGTGCCGGGTCTCTCATCTGTGCAACTGTAATCTCCCCAGCCTGAGACAAAACAACAACAAATAGCAGGTCGTCAATTGAGATGCAGGGATAAAAACTTTGATTGAGTTGCAGAGATACGGAATCTCTGCTCCTCGCCGACCAACTGGTGATGATGATCAGCACGATTCAGAATGTTTTCTGATGCAGGATGTGACGTGCCAAACTTCTGTGCTTGAACAAACTTCTGAAGCCCTGTGTTCTGCTGCTCTTTTCTTTTCGTCCATTAATGGGCTTTGGGGTACTACCTTCTTGGCTGGTGGGTAATGCACGAGACCAAATGGCCGCTGAGGCCTCCCCACTTCAAAGTATTTTTGTTTTCTCGGGATTTTCAGAATTTTTCTTTGTTTTTCTTCAATATCTATGAATTTGCGTAGGAATTACGCGCACCTCAGACAGCGCACTAAGAATTTTGTTCGGCAGTTGGGAGCTTTGGAATTTGCGGCCGCACTTCCCGCTGAGGTGTCCTTTCTTGCACATGAGTGTCCCAAATCCGTCTCGGAATGCTCGGTATATTTTCTGAAAGAATCTGAATTGGCGTAGGACTTTGTATGTCTAATTCCGTGCGCAGATATTGCTTTTGAATTTTTCAAATCTTGAACTAGTTTAGAACTGGGTTGGGAGGAGCGTAACTGTTTTGGTGCCTTTTTGTTTCCGCATCGGCACCATGCATGCAAGCTTCCCCCGCCTCCCGCTGTATCCCAAACGATCTTCACCCTTTTCTCCTTCGCACCTTCTTCTTTTAACCTGTAACTGTTTTTCTATGGCCTTCCCTTCATGCTCCTTTCTTCCCCCCTTCAGCTGAATCTCGGTCCCGTTCCGCACCAGTCTTCGCCCCCTCTCCTTTCCCGCCTTCATCGCCGTACAGGAAGTCCCTACCGATCCCTTCTCAAAGCCTTTGAGTCGTCAGACGATAGCGTGTAAGGAGGCATTAATCCCCTCATGCTGCAATCCGATTGGTCGCGAAGAACTTACGCTGATCGATATGGTTTTCCCAAGGCGATTAATCCCTCTCCCTTTCCCCCTCTCTTTTACCCCTTCTCCTTCCCTCTCTCCTGTTTTCGACTTCGCCCTCCGTAACTATAAAATCCGCAAGCGCAGATGGAAATCTCTCTCTCAACCCATCTGCCAGCTTCAGGGAAGTAGTGGCTAGATGATGTGATGATCGGCGAGTCGGAAAGTCCTGACGAGCTGACTATAGTTTTACGCGGTTGTGCATCGGGTGGCCACGACGGACAGGGGATCTGGGCAAGTTGGTGGGGTGACGATCGTTGTGTTACGGAGGTCGGTACGTGGCGGCCGAGATCGGCAGTGCCTGAGTAAGGAAGGTGTGTGTGAACGAATGGTTGCATGGTATGGGCCCATGATATGAGATCAGAAGGCCTGTGCGCCTTGCTCTTCGTTGTTTCTTCTCTGGCTTCGGAATCTAAGTTCACGACGTGGATTCAACAAATTGTCTGCTTGTGACAATGTCTTTTCCCCTTTATTCCGCTCGTTTGGTCAAGCTATGGCTCTGTCAATGCTCCCTCTCTCTCTCCCTCTATATGAATGATTGGATGGTGACGCGTCCTCCTCGCTTATGTCTGCATCAGAGTCCCCACCCCACTCGTCTCTTTTAGTTCGATCGGATCTCGTAGGGACGAGCATCGCTGAACTTTAAAGACCAACAAGGTCACGTCACCTTGTTTTTCTTTCTCCATTTTTTTTCAGTGCAATGAATGGTATATGTTTATGGTAGCAACTGGTGTGTGCGCGATTCTCTGCCCCTACTCAGTTTTTACGTTCGAAGTTTCGCCGGGCGAACTCAGCCGAGCGCAAAAACAAGTTGGGAGAGAAACACTTTCTTGTATGCATTGGCTGAACTGCTGTTTGGATGGCTTGGATGTAATAAGACTTTGGTGTTATTTTCTTTTCACTTGGACTTATTTTTGCTTCCCCTCTTCTCTCATTGGATGCTAAACACTTGAATTTTTTATCAGATCGGCACCTGTTCCCGTACAGCGAGGGAATGCCACATGTATGCGAGTGGGACATACGAGAAGCCGTTGCAAAGATCAGAGGATGTTATTATTTCCCTCCTGAAATGAGACGTTCAGGGTTCGTGGGTGCTAGGTTTGTGATCATCGATACTTATTTTTCGGCTTATTCCTTACTATTTCCCTTCAACGAGTTGATTGTCATCCGGTGGACGGCGGTGGCACCCCATTGGCCCAATACTCTCTGCAGCGATTGTCACGGCACCGAGCGTTATGGAGAAAGGGGTTTCCACTACCGAACACATAGCAAGGACGAGTTTAAACCACCAGTACTTGGCCCATACATCGGCCGCAAGCCGTTGCCGTTAACGCTACGCAAAGTTCGGGCTTCAGGGTACCGGACCTCAATGGCTGGAAGCGCCAGCCAAAAAAATTCGAAACGGTACCCTGCCGCTTCGGCAAAAATTGGCGCGCAGGGGGATTCCAGGCTCGACAACGATAGCTGGGCCAAGTACTGATGGTTTAAGGAAAGCGCGACCAGGCTCCAACCTTCCACGTCGGATCTGAGCTCTGCAGTGAGCGATGGTGGGACTTAATTTGAAAACGAGATCCCACGTGCGTACCCCCGCCTTTCCGTTCGAAAAGACATCGAGTAGCCCGTATGGAAGTTCAAAGATACTTTTTGGATTAGGCAGACATTTGAAAATTGCGCGCGCCCGTTTCCTAACTTTCCTTTCCCGCGCGGCGATGGCCATTTCTCGCTAAAAGTGGGACCACATGGGAGATTTTAGTTTTGTCTGTCTCCGCACTCAATTTCCCAAACATCCTTGGCATATCCCATCTTGCTATTCTTTCAGGGCCTTTTTTTTTCCCGCATTCTAGTCACTCCGAACGGAAGACAGCACAAGGTGTGAGGTTGAACGTCGCATCCAGGCAACCTTTTCAAAATCGAGTGCCTCAAGATGCGTACCATTTAGCCTCATTTATCGCACATGGAAACATTCATTGTTCATGGGCATGGACCTGTGTGTGTGTGTGTGTGTGTGTGTGTGTGTGTGTGTGTGTGTGTGTGTGTGTGTGTGAGAGAGAGAGAGAGAGAGAGAGAGAGAGAGAGAGAGA